CAACTCTTTCTTCTTTAGATCTAGTTGATTTGTATTGATGTAGATCTGAATCTAGAACTTATTATAGAGTTTGAGGATCTTGTGGACTTGTTTTGAATTTCTTTGTTCTATCGAGCTCTGGATTTTTTTTCGAAATTGTTTGTGTAATGTGAATCTCACTTTCCTGCAGATATTCCTGAGTTGAGTTTGAATTCAAATCCAAGAGTCTTCAGCTTCCGATTTTCAAATCGTGCTGTTTTTTTGTGTGGATCTCACTGTACGACGAACCTGAGCTCTGAGCTGAAGTCAATTGAGGGCTAAGAGGAGATGAATTATTTCCCAGACGAGGTTATAGAGCACGTTTTTGACTCTATAGATTCTCACAGAGACAGGAACTCGATCTCTCTGGTTTGCAAATCGTGGCACAAGATCGAGAGATGCAGCAGGAGAACAGTGTTTATCGGAAACTGTTACGCGATTAACCCGGAGAGATTAATCGGGAGGTTTCCATGTCTCAGATCATTGACCTTGAAAGGGAAGCCTCATTTCGCTGATTTCAACTTGGTTCCTCACGAGTGGGGAGGTTTCGTGCACCCTTGGATCGATGCTTTGGCTAGGGCTCGTGTAGGGCTCGAGGAGCTGAGGTTGAAGCGGATGGTTGTCTCTGATGAAAGCCTTGAGCTGCTTTCACGTTCCTTTGTGAATTTCAAGTCATTGGTGCTTGTTAGCTGTGATGGGTTTACTACTGATGGCTTAGCCTCCATTGCTGCTAATTGCAGGTAATATCTCCGTAATCTGATCTCTAGTTCGATTTCTATGTAAGATTTGGCTAGTGAGAAGCTAAAATTTGTCTGATCTTTTATTAGGCATCTTCGTGAGCTGGACCTGCAAGAGAATGAAATCGATGATCACAGAGGTCAATGGCTGAATTGTTTTCCAGACACCTGCACTACTCTTACGTTGTTGAATTTCGCTTGTCTTAAAGGAGAAACCAATCTGGCTGCTCTAGAGAGGCTTGTAGCAAGGTCACCGAACCTTAAGAGCTTGAAGCTTAACCGTGCAGTACCGCTCGATGCGCTCACGAGGTTAATGAGTTGTGCGCCGCAGCTAGTGGACTTGGGAGTAGGGTCTTATGAGAATGAGCCAGATCCAGAGTCTTTTGTGAAACTCATGGCTGCCATAAAGAAATGCACCTCGTTAAGGAGCTTGTCTGGCTTTTTAGAGGTTGCTCCTCGTTGCCTTCCAGCGTTCTACCCGATATGCCAAAACCTTATCTCCTTGAATCTCAGTTATGCAGCCGAGATCCAAGGCAACCACCTCATAAAGCTTATTCAGCTTTGCAAGAGACTTCAACGGTTATGGGTATGTTTGATCTCGGTTTCTCTCTTCACTGTCCTGGAAAAAGATTCTAACTTGCTAATCAGACAACAAATGTGTTTATATTAACGGATTTTCATGGTTCCTGCAGATATTGGATAGTATTGGTGACAAAGGACTTGAGGTCGTCGCTACCACATGTAAAGAGTTACAAGAGCTGAGAGTTTTCCCCTCTGATTTACATGGCGAAGAAGACTACAACGCAGCTGTGACTGAGGTTGGACTAGTTGCAATCTCTGCGGGTTGCCCTAAACTTCATTCGATTCTCTACTTCTGCAAACAAATGACAAACGCAGCGCTCATTACTGTGGCCCAAAACTGCCCAAACTTCATCCGGTTCAGGCTAGCAATCCTTGAGCCGAACAAACCCGACCACCTCACATCTCAATCATTAGATGAAGGCTTTGGTGCGATCGTACAAGCCTGTAAAGGTCTAAAACGACTCTCTGTCTCTGGTCTCTTAACCGACAAATTCTTCCTCTACATTGGTATGTACGGGGAAAAGCTCGAGATGCTTTCGATAGCTTTTGCAGGTGACACTGACAAAGGAATGCTTTATGTGTTGAATGGATGCAAAAAAATGAGAAAGCTGGAGATAAGAGACAGTCCATTTGGGGACGCAGCGCTTCTTACTGACGTGGGTAAGTACAAAACAATGCGATCCCTTTGGATGTCGTCTTGTGAAGTAACGCTCGGTGGTTGCAAGAGGCTCGCTCAGAATGCGCCATGGCTCAATGTAGAGATCATAAATGAGAATGAGAATAATCGGAATGGGGAAGACGAAAGAGAGAAGGTTGATAAACTTTACCTCTATCGAACAGTGGTCGGGACTAGAAAAGACGCACCGCCATATGTTAGGATTCTTTAGTCTCTCCCATTTCCCACACTACCCGGACGGGCCGCACTGGATCTCTCTTTATGGTTCATGTTCGATTTTGTTTTTAAGTCTTTTGATGTCGTTCGTCAGCTCTTTCTCCAATTTTAAAGTGTACTTTGTTTCAGACAAGAACCGATTCTGTGATGCTTCATTTGTTTTGTTTGAACCATTTCTGTTTGGCGATTCTTAGTTACATGGTACTTGCTTGTTTTGATCTGCCTTAAATACAGTATATGAGTACCAGTATTTGTTTTTTTTAATCTGAACTGGGGAATTTAAAGAGAAAAAAGCTGTACACAGATGAATAAATATAGATGTTACTTTTTTTTTATCATTACCATAACTCAAAACATGTTTATCAAATAATACATAAGAATTACAAAGAACATCCATAAGAAACCTATCTTTATAATCCATGTTTTCGATGAGTTCACTCTCGAGCAAAGAGTTGAACACATAAACAGATAATGAAACATGACAGTACACAAGACATAGAGAGTTATGGCATATGTCTTCGATTGAACATATAATGCGACTGTAGAAGACCACAACAGTAGAGTCGCAGAGGCGGGCATGTTCTCAGAAGCAGCATTCCTCCAACACACAACAGCAGCAGAGAGCAGCAAGACTGCAATTTGTAACCCGCCAAAAAAAAAAAGAGATTCGATTAATCATAACACAAGAATATCAATAAGCACAGGTAAAAAAATGCTTAGGTTGTATGTAAGATAACAAATAAGAACAACATGAGGATTACAGCATAAGATTTAGGCTACTTTTAGTGCAGATGACAACTCTTTTACTATTTGAAATATAAAGGTTTTCATCGGTACTAGGTTTTCAAAATTCCATCTTATCTAGAGATTAATACAAATATTTTGGGATTAATACTAATAATACTAAGAGAGCCAGTAGGTTCATTAAAGAATGAAAAAGATCACGTCCAAGATCCAATTACAGTAGTTGAACATAAAAAGCGTCTCTATATGAACAGCTCTAAACGTATCACAGATGACAAGAACCAACCATGGAAAGATGATCAGAAAGACAGAAAACTAAAGGATTAATACGAATCTCTTGCATTCAAATTCCGATTTATGGCCACAGAACTCTGGGTTTCAAATTAGTTGTCTAAATTCAACTCACATTATGACTTTATCCACATATATCAACTCAAAGAATCTGGTTCTCATCAGGATCATTTGATCAAAAATATTCCCAAATTCCAAAAACCAAAACACTTGTTCAATGAACCCTCAACATTAATCAGTGATCCTTTAGACCTACACGTTGCTCCTAAAATGTCACAGAATCAATCAATTGTCCCAAGACAATGAAAAAAAGTCAAACATTACAGCTTTAAACCGACACAAAATCAGTAAACAAGATTGAACCCAAAAACGAAAGAATCGAATCAGCAAACAAAAACGAAGTTTCAGATTCAGGAAAACAGTGATGATGGGAAATTAAAGAGCGGGGAAGTAGTAGTAGAGAGACGAACCAGCCACGGATGAAAGAGGAGCAACCAGAGTCGGAAGAATCCTGGTAATGGTGATGATCGTGCTGGTAGTGATTGTAGTGATGC